CTTGTCGGTTTGTATTCATGGTTTAGTAGTAATAAATAAAGCTCAGATTTATCAAAAAAAAAAAAAAGTTTATTTATACCATTTTCCTGTAATGGATTTATCGGCAGAAACAATACGATTAAAGACGATTGATGGTTCAACCCAAATATCTTTATCAAGTTCCTTTATGATGAGAATATGCCCAGGACTAGTAATCGGGATTGATGGTTTAGGTGTATAAACACTTCTGGGGACTACTGAAAGTGACGTAATAGACGGTGGAAGTGTAGGTCTTGGAAACAAAACTCCTCGCTATATTATTGTATATACAAGAAATTACTAAGAAATTATTAAATAAAATAACGAATAAATTATATTACCTTTTTTAAAAATAAGTGCGATATATCTTGAAAATTTCTCAGAATTCGATTTCCATATTCAGTACAAATAGACTAGTGAGAAAAAAATGAGCAATATCAATTAAAATAAGAAACTTTAGCAATCATTAAAATTTTGAACAAACCATGCCTCTGGATGAAACTGAACGCCAAAAATTGGTTTAGACGAATGCCTCAAGCCCATAATTGTACTCAATTCTTTAATAGGTGGCTTATTGTCGAGAAGCCCTTCTTGAAAATCATCGTCGTCTTCGGAACACCAAGCTGAAATTTTTAATTGTTGCGGTAAACCTGCGGATAGCAAAATATTAATCAAATTATTAATGTGAAACAGCATTATAAATGATTATATACCTTTATTATCGACCACCAAACTATGATACCTGACGGCACAAAATGGACTTGGTATGCCTAGGAATAAAGACGCGTTATCATACGTTCCGTCGTGATAAACAGGACTTAACCTTCCATGCATTACTCTTTTAGCATTTACAACCTAAGGATTGAACAAAATCAGATTTATAATATCAAAGGAACCATATTTTATTGTTGATCAAAAAATAACTCACATCAGAACCAAAAGCGACGCCAATGCCTTGATGTCCTAAGCATACACCTAGAATTGGAATATTATCTAATTCAAGGATTTTTGTACATATACCAAAATCCTAAAATTTTCGGATAATTTTAGAAATTATATAAACAGAAATTATAAATTCTTTCAATAGAAAAAAAATTCTTTTTGGAATAGTTCCGTACAGAAGCATTCTCCGGACTACCTGGTCCTGGTGATATTATGATATTGTCGAAATGAGGAAGTACATGGTTTTTAAACTTTGTCCTATATTAAAAAATGATAAAAAATTTAATAACAATAATACTGAATTTCTACAAACTGATAATGGAGTATACCAAGAAAGCATACCAAGAAAACTGATCATTTCTGATCACAACTACATTTTTGACGCCGTTTTCGTCACCCCATAGCTGAAATAAGTTAAAAGTATAGGAATCATAGTTGTCAATGATCAATGTTCGTAATGACGAAATGTCCATTACTTTCGAAAACAAGCAACCTTAAAATTCTTAAAAATCTATTACATCTTGATCTAGCATGCATATATCCCAAACATAGAAAAAACAATTACACTTTTCAACCAATCGGAACCGGGAAAATGATATAAATAAACTTTTTTTTTTTTTGATAAATCTGAGCTTTATTTATTACTACTAAACCATGAATACAAACCGACAAGTCTTTCAAAAATTATCAAGTACTAGTTGGCGTTTTATTTCACATAAAACTAACCTTTCACCAAATAATTGGCATTATTCACATATTTTATTACCTTATTCCCGAATAAAATCTATTTCAACATTGCGCAGAGCTAACGATAATATTTCACAAAATGGTCAGGGAATTCGATATTTTATTGGTTCTGCAGTGATTGCTGGGGTCGGCGGATCAGTTTATTATTATTTTCAAAAAAAAAAAGGGAATCAATCCATTGACAATTCAAATAATCAACATCATAAAATCATTCTTTCGCCACAAGAGGCTACATTAAGATTACGAGAAAATCAATTATCATTCTTACTCCAGCGTAACAACGGAGTTTATCGTTACGATACAAATCAATTAGCATCTAATAATCCAATTGAGGATACTAAATGTGAATTAATTATTCCAAGTTCAAAAAATGGTGGCGATCGTTTATTTTTTGGTGTATTTGATGGTCATGCTGGTTGGAATACATCACAATTATTAAGTAGGAAATTGATCCCTTATGTTAAAGAACAACTTGATAAAGCTTATGATGGGTATGGTGAATATTCAAAATTAATTTCAAATAAAAGAGAATTAGTTTCAAAAGCTATTCAAAAAGCATTTACTGAGTTGGATGAAGAGATTGTCTTTCATTCGATTGATAGATTATTAAATACGCAAAATGAGTCCGGTGGTATTTCTTATATTAATGAAAGTTTATTATCGGCATTGTCGGGATCTTGTGCAATACTTGCATATGTTGATACAGCTGCAAATGATCTTTATGTCGCTTGCACAGGAGATTCGAGAGCTGTACTTGGAGTCAAAGACCCAACAACCGGTGAATGGAAACCAATACCTTTAAGCGAAGACCAAACGGGTAGAAATGAACATGAAGTAGAAAGATTAGATAAGGAACACCCGGGTGAAAGTAATATTATCACAAAAGGACGGGTTTTTGGGGGGCTGGAGCCAACTCGGGCATTCGGCGATTCTAAGTAAGTCATACGAATTCGGTAATGGGTAATGATTATCATTTTTACCATTAAAATGAATTAATTAACTTCTCATTCATTAGATATAAATGGGATAAAGCTCTACAAGAAATAATTTATTCTAAATTCTTCAATGAAAAACGTAGCGTTCCTGGGGGTGACCGATATAAAACCCCACCGTATGTTACAGCCAAACCCGAAGTTACACACCATAAGATCAGTCCGGAAGATAAATTTTTGGTTTTGGCAACGGATGGTCTATGGGATCGATTATCAAATGCGGAGGTTATAGAACTTGTTGGACTTTTAATTGATGGAAGACGAAATGGAAAAAATGGTAGAGAGCTCACTACCGTACAAAAAGATTTGAATGTTAATGGCTCAAAACAACAAAAAGAATTCTCATTTGTAGATGAAAATGCGTCTACACATTTGATACGTAACGCTCTTGGTGGTGCAGCTGAAGATGTTTTATGTGCAATGTTATCTCTTCCTCCACCTATGTCTAGAAGGTGGCGGGACGATATTACCGTAACAGTGATATTTTTTGGCAAAGATTAATATAATCAGCTAATGCTGTAATGTGAGTTCAGGTCAAATAGGAGGACATTCATATGATTGAATGGTACAAATAAATTGCCCGGGTAACTTATTTATATGTTTTAAAGCACTTTTTTAGGACAGAACATTTCACTAATAAAAAGCCACTTGTAGTTTTAAAACACTGTCAATAAAGAATCTCAAAAAAAGTTCTTACTCCTGGTGGATTTTGCCTCGAAGATAAAATATATCACCATCAATTGATCCGTACAAAGTTATAGTATAGAGTGAAGGTAACTGGAAATGCTTTCGTCTAAGACTACTTTATTACGTTAGATTTCTATTCTAACTTTTAATTTGAATAGGTAAAAGCTCTTTAGTCCGTTAAATTTTGTCGACATTGTGTTTGGGTTTGTCAACCATAAATTAAAGTTTTGTTTTATTCATTGTAGGTTCTTTAATGAATTCGGGTTTATTAGTAATAAATATTACATTTACCCGTATCTATCTATTCTCTAAACATACAGTTTACTCGATCCTGCCAAAACCGATTAACTTCCCATAACTGATAAAAAAATTGGTCAACCATATTCGTTCCATAATCTAAACTCGATATATTATATAGTTATAGAGTCTGATAATTCGAATTGGTTCTGTGTAATAATATTGTATATTATTTAGCATATATTGAATTATAATCATGTGACTGGCGAGTTTATACGGCAGGGATGTACGTACATTTTTGACGTCCAAAACCTTTTGACATGTCCAACGTCCAAGTGTCCAAAGCTCATCTAAGCTTTGATAATTAAAAAGTCTATTTTAAAAAAAAAACATGAATATATATTTTGTTTAATTCTAAACATCTTTACTTAGAAATTTGAGATAGATTATCTTAATAAAATTTTGAGCAATTTTAATATTTAAAAATGTCCAAGATGTCCAAACTTTGTCCAAAGGCTGTCCCGTGCATACCGGTTTTGACAGTGTGGAGACTCTCTGTGATAAAATTTTGTACTGTATGTATATTTGTTAAACGTCAAATCGTAAAATAACGTACCAGATACGTACGTACAGTACGTCGATAACTAAAAAAATAACAAAAAAAAGCAATTTTATTTTTTTTATGTTATGTTCAATTTTACATCGATATTTATTATATCGACCTTTTCGCAATTTTTGATTATAATAACAACTATTACTTCTTGTATTTTGACTAGGTTCTTAATTAGATACTCTATTTATAATATTTTTTGAAGAGGTTTTATTAGTCGCGTTAAGTTTTGTTGGAAATCTGCCTATTGGAATTGTGACATTGCATCTGGTACGGATAACTTTATTATCCGACAAACTCTTATGATCATGAATTTATTTCTGTCTGTTATTTTTTTTCATGTGTTACGAAATATTTACATTTACTCGAATTAAAACTCAGCCGACGACTCCTACCAATCATGATCATAAATTATCGGATAACACCATTATTCAAAAATTTTTGCCGAATAATGTATACTTAGTCTATTCTATCGATGTTGAGAATTCGAATTTTTACGAGGTTTTACCTGGTTTCAAATTTAACATACTGACTTTTTTTAGTTTATATTGACAAATAACGGTTTAAAAAGCCTTTAATAGAACAAACTTGAGTTTCATAGTTATGTTTATCTGATTGACAACTCAATCCGAAATTTGGGGTCTTAATTTGAAAAATCCACCTATACTCTTTTATTATAAACACTAACTAATCGAACTATGAAAACAAAGCTGAACAAAACACCCCCAAAAAAAATTTAAATTCTCATAATAAAATAAGTCAAAATTTCAGCATATCCGACAATATTTTAATTTAAGCTTTCATGTTTATTTGATGGAATTTGTAAAACGGCTAGACAACGATTGTATTTGAACAATCCATATATATCTTATTTTTTCGATTATTTATATAAGGTCAAATAATTTTTTTCAAAGGTTTGAAGTGAAAGAAACGAATCAATGAAGTATTCGAAACCTATATTGTAAAGAAATTAAAAATTTTTTTTTAAGGAGTCGTTTTGGTGCCACCCGGGGTAGTAAATAATTTATTGCCACCCTATCTAAATTAAATACTAAATTGACTGACTGACCCTAACCCTAAGGTGACGTGCGTCATCAAATTATTATTTAATTTAGACAGGGTTGTATACCAATCCGGATGGCACAGGTTATCTATTTAAAATAATGCATCAAAATTTGACATACGTGTATAAAGGTTAAACTCAGGTACGTACGTACGGTTGGGGTGGTAAATCAACTAAGTAAATCAAACCTATGTGAGCATACTATAGAATTTGATATATTACAGATTTTTCACG